CTGAGAACACAAAACAGATCTCCAGGGCCAGTGGAAGATTCACAGGACATGTCTGAAGTCCACTGGGAAACTGTAGGGACATAGCTGGGTCTCTGAAAACAGCCAAGCACCATACCTGGGTCTCTGGAAATAGCCAAGAACTATAGCTGGGTCTCTAGAAACAGCCAAGAACTATAGCTGGGTCTCTGGAAACAGCCAACAAACACCATAGCAGGGTCTCTTGAAACAAGTGCTTCATCTTCTCTCCAAGGAGCTAGTTGCTTGTGGGAGGGACCATATGGTTAATGAATCTCCTAGGAGGTAATGTGGGGTCTCAGGACTCCAGCTGTTGCCTACAGGAGAATTGACTGGATGTCTTTCCAGAAAGGAATCATTCCACAGGGAAACCATCCCAATGTCCACTTCGGGCTTTTGCAAGTGTGACTTCCTGCATATTTAGGGCAGAGGCCAGGTGGGCAGGGGGTCAATGTCTGGCAATGGTTGCATACGTGCTGGACTCTGCCAGGGGCTCTGTGGATGGCGGGGACACAGCTCTGGCTGCCCTCTGGGTGAGGGGCTTGTGGTTCAGCTGGGCGTAGGTCACCTCTTGGAGGCCTCCTGCAGCAGGGGTCTGAGGATAAAGATGCAGGGTGGGTTTGGGTGGCAGAGTAAGAGTATGTCACCTCCACAGTGAGGACACAGAAGACAGTGTGGCTTCTGTCCCTCTCTCTTGGGGTCCCTCCCTCTGGGGGAGTCTGACTACCATGAGAAGCACGTGTGGTGAGGATGTGAGATCCTGCCCACTGCCGGGGGGACTGAATGTCGTGGTAGTGGATCTTCCAGCCCCAGTCGAGCCTCTGATGAGTGCAGCCCTGCTCAGCATCTTGATGGCAACCTCAGAACAGACCATGAGCCAGAACTACCCAGCCGAAGCAGTTCCAACTTCCTGGCCCAAGAAACTGAGGTGATTCTGTTAGCTGCTAAATTCCAGAGGCTTTGGTTCAGAGCACTAGCTGATGAATGCAAGCACTTACCGAGGTGCCCACCTCTCCGTCCATGTCAGGAAATCTGTCAACGCTGGCCACATCTGAAGGGGAGGAGGACCAGGGCTCAGTTCTCTGAGGTGGAGCTTAGGAGACACACATGCCTGACCTCACAGCTTCATATTCCGTCTCCTCCCCACCTGCAACGTCCTGGAATGCTTCACCCCACACTGTTTCCTGCATGGCCTGAACCCCTGCTTCCCCCCCAGACCTGTCCCCCATCCTTGTCTTTACCTGGGGTCCCATCTAGGACATCCACAGCTGGACTGAGCCTGAGGAGAAAGAACATGTGAGTCCTGAGGGCTGCATGGGGGCAGAGGACGGGTGGACTGGGAGGTCATCAGCAGGGTCCTCACCTCCCCTGGTGTCTCTGCTCCACGTCTTTGCTTCTGGGCGGCCCTGAGGAGAGTCAGGTGTGAATTAAGAAGAGAAGCCTTCTTTCCAGCACCCCCAAACGGCCTGCCCGCTCACCCCACCCTGTCCCTGAGACCTACCCCGTTTTCTCCGGTGCTGACGATGGAGGAGGAGAAGGACCAGGAGGAAGAGACAAAGGAGAAAGGCCACAGAGACCCCGATGAGAATATAAACCTGCTCCGTCGACAGGCCTGTGGGAGCTGGGAGGGTGGAATCAGATTATCAGCAGTATGCCCTTATGGAGCACCTGCTTCATACCACCCCCCCACACACACACATGCTGGGGGCTTGTGGTGTTCACACTCACATATAGAGCTCTCACACGCACACCAGTCCTGTGGCTTGGGACTTGCCATCCCCCGCTTTACAAAGCCGGGTCTGAGAGTTTAAGCCCTGTGTCCACAGCGCATTGGCAGAGCTGGAATACTACCAACACCAAAGCCCGTTTTCTCCCTCTTTCCCCAAAGAGCACACACCACGAGGAGGGAAGAAAATATTTCCTCGTATGAGTAAGATCAGCACTTCTCCAGGCTCAGGCAGTGCTGCGGGGTCGGTGCATTTATTCCTGGTTTTGCACACGAGCAACGAGGAAGGTGGAAGGATTGGGTGATTCGATTTGCTCAGGGCCCAGAGCTGCGGAGGGCGGAACCCGATCCAGGCAGTCTCGGTGATGGGTTCTGCTTTGGACAAGAGTCTCCACAGCGTGAAATGGGAGGGAGGGAGCGAGATGGAAGGGGGCTGAGCTGGATTCCTACACCTGGCGGGTTCATGGCCTTCCGGAAGGGCAGGTCTGCCTTCTGGGCTGCTCAGGTATAACCATCAGCGGTCCCTTCCGCCCGCCGTGGACCTGACCACAAGGGGGCGGTGCGGAGCGGCTGCCAAACCCCCGAGTCTGGGGTCCAGTCTGGCTGCCCTGGGCTGGCTCCTCCCTTCCAATCCCGGCGCCTTTGGACAAGAACCTGCAAGCTCCTTTCCGCATAGAAAAAGGGGCGGAGGCTCTGACAAGGTCCGGGAAGTGCCGCCCTCGATGGGCCGTCCTGGCATGACTCCATTAGGGGCCCGGTGCAGAGTCATCCAGCCTCGTGGGTGCTGTTCCCGGGGTCCTTAGGAGTCAGAGACACCCCGGTGCCCTGCGCCTGCCAGCCCGTGCTGAGCTCCCACAGTCCCTGAGCCAAGCCCGGGAGAGGGCTGCACCCTGATCCCAACACAGATCACCCCGCCCCCCAGACACCCCTCCAGGCGGGGGTCGGCTACTCACCAGCGGAGGAGCAGCACTGAGCGGTGGGGGAGCTGCCGCCTGCAGGGGGTCCTGTGACGGTGGGGGGACAGGAGAAGGACTGGTGCTGTGTGGGGGCTGCCCAGGGTCTGTCCCACTCAGCCTGGCGCCTCTCCATCCTGAGCATCCGACCGCGGGCCACCCACGGCCTTCACTCAACCCCGGACAACACCCCGAGACTCCCGAGAAAATGGGGCCGGGGCCAGGCGAGGCGGAGCCCCCCTGCTCCATCGCGCTGGGGTCACACCCTCTGCACCTGCCGGAGCTGTGCCCCGCGTCACTGCCCAGACTCTTCATGGTGACCTCCTCTGAGGGGGGTGGTCAGAGTGTGCTGGACGGACCCCGACTCCAGGACACCCTGGGGGCTGACCACACACAGGACACGGACGGCCTCACCCCAAAGGTGCCCCGAACCACCATCCAGCCCTGCGCAGGGGTCCCCTGGACCTTGTGACTTGCCCAGTGAAGGGTGGACCTCAACACGGGGGCACTCGGCCTGGAGGAGCCACACTGTCTGACCCTTGTCTGGGGGACAAGACAGAGGCTCCCCTGAAGGGGCCTGTCTCCCCCATCTCCGGACGCCCACTCCCCAGCAGCCCAGCAGGGTCGGGTCTGTGCACCTCCCCACCGATGCTGGGGCTCAGCGTCCAGGCCCTCGAGACGTTCAGCTGAGACCAGTCTCAGGGAGCTGAGCCAGGCGTGGAGGTGGGGCTGCTCTTCATCGCGTTGCGTGGCCTTCTCACTGCAGTGGCTTCTCTTGTGGAGCACAAGGTCTAGGGCTCGTGGGCTCAGTAGTTGTGGCGTACAGGCTTTATTTGCTCCGTGGCATGTAGAATGTCTCTCAGGGCCAGGGACCAAACCCATGTCCCCTGCATTGGCAGGCGGATTCTTATCCACGGGACCTGAAAGTCCAAGGAATTGTCTGCTGATGGCGGTACTCTGTGGTCAGTCTGATCCTCATATCCTGTATTATTGAGCTTCCCTCCCTCCTGAACAGTTCTGGCGCCTCCTCTGGGTGGCCCCGGTACCCTCCGACCTGTGTCTGGACACTCTCTCTCTGACCCGCCGGGACTGAACCCCAGGGAGGCGGGCTCTGCGGCTGCTGTCCGCGGTGCTGACCGGGATGTGACGGTTGTCTGGTTTCAGCACCNAGGGTGTGTGTGTGTATGTGTGAGTGTATATGTGTGCGTGTGTGTCTATGTGGGTGTGTGTATATGTGCATGCACATGTGTCTATGTATACAGGTGTGCACCTGTGTGTGTATGGGTGTGTGTGTGTATGCATGTGTGTGTATGTGTGGGTGTATATGTGTGCGTGTGTGTCTATGTGGGTGTGTGTATATGTGTGTGCACATGTGTCTATGTATACAGGTGTGCACATGTGTGTGTGTGGGTGTGTGTGTGTATGTGGGGGGCTTGGGGTGTGGGTATGAATGTGGGGGTGGTGTGTGTGTGTGTGCAGGTATGTGTGTATGCATGTGTGCATGTGTGGGGGGTGTGTATGGGTGTGGGTGTGTACAGATGTGGGTGTTGTGTGCAGGGGTGTATGGGTGTGTATGTGTGTGTGCAGCTGTGGGGGTGTGTGCAGGGATGTGTGTGTGGAGGACCTGGAGCACAGATCTGGTCCCATAGACCTCAGGGAGTGAGAGTCCCTGTGTCTACTCCGCAGCACCCGGGCGAGCCCAGAATCTGAAGGGTGGGCACCGGCTGGAGACCAGCCGGTTCAGGTTCAGAGGCAGTCTGCTGGCACAGCGGTCAGGGGAGGTCAGGCTTTTGTTCAGTTCAGGCTATCAGCGGATGGATGAGGTCCACCCACATTGTGGAGGACAATTTGCTTTGCTCAAAACCCAATGATTTAAATGTTAAGACCATCCCAAAACATCTTTGCAGACACACCCAGGATGTTTGACCACGTAAATGACCATGGGCCAGCCGAGAAGACACAGAATTAAATACCACAAATTCCACCATCCCCCACAGCATCAACTTGACACATGTGTGCACCTCCTGAAACCACACCTAACCTCCAAATAAAGACAACAACGTGAGTGAGTGAGTGAGGAGTGAGCTCTACCTGCCCCTGCCTCTGTGGGGACTTCACTGACTCTGAAGCCATCTTCCTGCTTCAGGGCTGCAAGCCCCCACCACACCCCCCACCACGCCCCCACCTGGTTGGGATACGTGGGGTTTCCAGAAGCCTCAGTGACAAGGACACGGAAGTACACTGGGATGGAGGCAGAGAATACTGAGAAAACCCAGGGATGGTCTCTGCAGACTCACCCTGGACACTGACCCTCACCCGCCAGGGAATGTGAGACCAGACCTGTGCTCCAACTACTCCACACACATGCACACACACGCATGCACATACATGCATGTGCATACACATGTGCACACACATATACAGACACACACCCACATATACACATACACACACCCACGTGCATCTGCACACGCACATGCACCTGCGTATACACACACACGCCACACACACGCACATACATGCATGCACATACACATGTGCACACACATATACAGACACACACCCACATATACACGTGCACATACACACACCCACGCGCATCTGCACACGCACATGCACCTGCATATACACACACATGCACACACGCACGCACATACATGCATGTGCATACACACGTGCACACATCCACACACCCACATATACACATACACACACCCACGCGCATCTGCACACGCACATGCACCTGCATATACACACACATACATGCCGCACACGTACACACACGCATCTGCCCACACACACCCACATACGCACTCACGTACACACACCCAAACACACACACATGTGCACACCTGTATACAGACACACGTGCACACACATATACACACACCAACATAGACACATATGCACACACCCCTGCACACACCCACACACACACCCCTGCACACACCCACACATATACACACACACATGCATACAGACACACCCCCTACACTTCCACAGTCTGCAATTCATGACCCTCACCCACACGATCTCTCCCAGGACAGGCAGCTGCCCTTCCCTTCAGACCCAGCCCAGGTCACTCCTACCCACTCAAAGCCCTGCTTTCCTCATCCCAGGAATGACCCAATCATTCCCAGCCTGCGTCCCCTCCCCTTCTCTCTAGAGTGGCCGTGGCCAGGGAGGGAGCCGCCCCCCACCGCCAGCAGACATGTCCAGGCCCCCAGCTGCTCTGTCACCTTCCAGGTCACCCTGAGTGAGATGTGACCAAGTCTCAGGGTCCTTACGTCAATGAGAAACTAACCACGGTGATGGGAATTCACCTGCTCCTGGGGGGGGGGGGGGGGGGG